CCGATGGTTTCTATTGGCCACGCGTGCATTCGTCACGGCTCGCCGCGGTCAAAGTTCAACATAGTTCAACTTTGACCTGGCCTGTGTGCGAGCTCGCGAAGCGGTGCGCTGCGCTGTGCTTGCGCTTTGCTCGATGCAGCGATAAACCGCCCTGGCGCGGCGCAAGCCATTGAAAAGAATGGGTTTCACAGCGCAACAGTGCGGTCGTCGCAGCCTGTCTGAAAGGCCCATAAGACTCATTTTATTAAGTGCTATTAGAGATACTTTATTTTTTTTATGTTTTTTTACTTTGTTTAATGCAAATGCTGAAATACTTTAAATTGGTCTGACTTGGAAAATGTCATCAGGAAAAGCTCATCAAAACCAAAAAAACTCAAAGTCTACATATAATTAAAATGAACAGACCTTAAAACTTCTGTTCAAGGCCATGTCACACCTTGACCATCTAGACCAGCGTCTGCCTGAAATACAAAAAAATCTGGCAAAAATGCTGCCAAAAATGCTGCCATATGTTGGATAAGTTTGGGTATGTTTTGTATAAGTTATGAGCACGCTGAAGCACGCTGAAGCACGCTGAAACGCACACGTTGACGTATGGCAAGTACATGAAGATATTAAGCATGCTCAAAATTTCTTGACATATGCCAGCATATACACGTATGTGGGTCATAAGTTACAGGTAAGTTATTCGATTATTAAGGTGTACTTATAGGTCATGGTGTCCAGCTTATCCAGAACCTATGAGTAACTTGTGCATAACTTACACAAACTAACTTATCAAGAACTTATCTCCAACATATATCAATGTATTTGACGTTTTCCAGATGATCCCTGAACATGACTCGAAGTTACAGCTACTGTAAAACGGCGAATTGGCATCATTTTGGAAGAAAAGGGGGTTCACGGGAGGAAACTGTCAGTTCTCTTCCAGACCTCATCCCCATCACAGGGTGAGCAAGAAGGTGAGTAAGTTGGATCCTCCCTTCATTCACGACCAGCAAGCTTCCTAGCAGACATGACCCTGAATCCACTGTGACTGCAAAACCTCTTTCTCTCTATCTTTAATATTTTTATTTTTATTTATTGTTTTTGGGGGTTTCT